TAATCCCCGCATTTTTCCACACAAAGTTGAGAAAAAAAAAAGTTAACTCGTCTTGACGTGAAGTAGTGATGATGATGACGCGACGTCATCAGCTCGCGCATCACAGAAGGTAAACAACACCGTAGAGTGAACGTGTGGAACTCACACGAGAGAAAACACCAAGATGAAAAAATCTGATCCATCTCATTTACCAACAAACATTTCTGCTAAAGACCGGGCAAAGCAGTACCCCGATGTCTTTCACAAAAGTGGGGGGAAACTATTCTGCACCCCGTGCAACTGTGTGTTGGAGCATAAGAGAAAATCGACGGTGGCGACCCACTTTGATTCATTCAAACATTCGAAAATGCTTTCTGCTGCTGCGGACAAGAAAGCCAAACAACTCACGTTCACCGAGGCATCAACCTCCAAAACCCTTTCGAGGGCTACAAGAAACGAAGTGAGTAGCCTACAAGATTGAAGCTGGTCAGATAACGAACGAGTAACTGAAAACAGAATGAGGCGGAGAAGTGTGTGTGTGTGTGTGTGTGTGTGTGTGTGTGTGTGTGTGTGTGTGTGAGAGAGAGAGAGAGAGAGTGTGATTAAAATAGCCCAATTGCTTTTACAATAAATAAACATTGAAAGTGTTTAATTGAATAGTAAAGGGGTTTAACGTTAGTGGCAGGTTGTGTGTGAGAGAGAATAAATAAGACAGCCCAATATTTAAAAAAAAATCTATAATTTTTCTCAACTTTCCGCATATTTCACAACTTCCCGCAATTTCACCGCATAAAATCATATAAAAACCCTGCATGTTTAATCGCATAATCAAGGATTTTAGCCTGCGTTTTTCTGGAGGGTCTAATAAAATACAAGAAGGTGGCAGAGCATTATGTTCCTGCTACCAGTACAGGTGAAGGTCGACTGAAGAAGGAGGTTTAAACGGTGTGAATATGAGAATAAATGCACAACAAAAACTTGCCAACAGCACACATATATGCAGAAGTGCCTGATGACATGCAGTAGAATAAAAGGGTTGGATCAAGCAAAGGCCAGATTGAAGAAAATACGACAATTTGCTTTAATGATCCTTTGGCTGACTATTAGCTTGATTGATGAACTAATTGCCTGAAAATAGTTTTGAAATAGTTTTTGAAAATGAATTTGAACCAACAAACAATTCAAAACCAAACGCCATTCGCTGTTCATATGCTGCTCATATTTGAGAGGCTGAACCCAGCTCTATAACAGCTTTAACATTTTGAAAATAGCTTATTAGCAAACTACTCAAATGTCATTATTTATCAAATGTAGTTTATTATCTTTTTTAATACCTTTCTATTTTACTCTTATGTTCATTGTCCTGTCTGTAAAGGACAGTAGAAAGGTGAGAGAAAGAGAGAGATGAGGAGATCAAGCTGCTGTGTTGCGTGTTGGAGGGTGGAGAGTTTGTACCTGAAGCAGACGGTGTGCCAGTCGGAGCTGAGCGCCTGCAGGTACTGCTCATCGTAGATCCTCTGTTTGCATCCCGTGCAGATGGGCAAACTTCCTCCAGCTGAAACAAAGACACGCGGGTCACAGCACGAACAGATACCCACCAGTAATTACTTCATTATGCATAGAACCAACAACAGCTCTTTGATGGGATGTACAAAATGCTGTAGTGTGTTTGCATGGGGCTCTTATCGCTGTGCTTATCTGGACTTCAATGCAAATCCTCACTGAGGCTCCAGATAACAAACAAACTTAATTTCTCTCTCCCCGTCCACAGATGTCTGTCAGTCAGTCATAGTGTCAGTCAGCAGGCGATTTATTTCTTTGTAATTCATAACCTTTTGTTTAAGAAGAAGAATTTAAGAATAATATCTAAAGAGGTCTTCCTTTGTTACACTATTGTACTTTACTTGATGAATAAAATGAATTTTTGGCTAATTGCTAATAAATTAAATTGCTGCTAAATCGAAATCAAGACAGATATATCCTGTTACATTACATAAAATAGAGCTGATGCTTTTGTCCAAAGCCACTTAGAATAAGTCACAATTACAATATGTATAATAAATGTTATTATTAACAGCTTGAAACTTTGAACATGAGACTTGTTCTGAACAAATGTGGGAATCATCTACATTACTTCCAACAAATTCTAATGTAGGAAAAAAAACCATGTCTCTGCTGCAGCTCAGCAGTAACACTACAACATTGTATTGACAACATTAACTGCATTATTGGGTGCTTTTGGTGGCATATTGTAGAGGCAGCTAAAACTAAAATACGTGTGATGAAGTTCTTCTGCACACCCACAGCAAAATCTAGCTGCTTGCCATCTGTCAAATGCAAAACAGATTTATACAAATTAAATGGTGGGCACAGATCAGTTCAGAGACATCTGCTTCCTTCATAGATTCGATATAATATAACATAGAATATAGAAGTATATCAGTGTATTAATGTAGAATCACAGGAAAGGGTAAGGTTGCAGCTTATATTATTCGTCCATCTCTTGAATTTGAAAACTGTGCTGTCAGAGGTTTGGTGCGTTTAGCTTGTTAGTTTAACGCTTGAGCCTCCATGCAGCTTTATTGATCATACTGAATCGACTCGCGGGCAGTCTGATTTGCGCTAAGGCCTTTTCTCTCCTCTCCCTTCACCTCACCTCTTTACCAATTGATATGTTTTTATCTCATCTCTTCATTATACAGCACCTTTCTCTGTGATAAATGTGTCCTCCTGTCATCTGCAGTCTGCAAAGGCCTCAGTATAGGTACACAAACACACCTCACACACACACGGACAGTAACCTGTGCAGCAGCACCGGTTGTCCCAACTTATTCATTACTCACACAGTTCCTCATGCCAAGTGAGTCATCACATAAAAGCTCTATTGTCAGGTCTGTGAACTTGTTAGCGTGCTTAAAAATGTGCAGCAATGTCACATATCAAAGCCTGAATTCAGCAAATATTTACATTGATGCACACATAATACCTAATCTTGTTGTAGAGCAATGTTTTCCAAAATGTAATACAAATAAATACTTCTACTTCTTGCGTCATTCCAAAGTTCAACCAAACAACATTTTGTTCTTGTTTGAATAGCAGAAAAGGTTAAATAAAGTAATGTATAAGAAAAAGAGCAAAGGTTAGATTTACATTTAAAAAACGTATACTTTTTGATTTAATTGTTCCCTCTTTAGTAAATCATCTCATAAAACCTCCATTTCAAGAGGACTTCAGTTGTGTTCTTTTAACAAAAGAAAACTGAGGTAAAGGGTGTTAGCATACTGACACTGAATATTTCTCCAATACCATTTACAACAGGAGATAGATAGAGAGGTGGGCAAACATTCATCTTAAGGCTATCAGTATATGTGCAGCTACATATCAAATAATATGTTTGTTTTAAATTTAGGATCTTTGGATGCAATATCCAAAGTTGCACCTTGCCTGTCATTTTGCAATAAGCACCCCGTAGATTCCTCATTTTAACGCATACATGTAACAACCTGTTTACGAGCAGAACATTTTTGGCTATCCTTGAAGGATGCATCAACTCCGAGGAAAACGATATAACAAGTAAGAGAAATAGTGGACAACATAATGTTCATATCCACTTTCAGTGGAGCATCCTGTGTTTTGTTTCGCTGTCTCTGCATCTCCCGCCCCGCCGCATGCATCTCCTCTCGCGGGTCCTTACCTTCCTCCTCTCCCATGCGTTCGTCGTTCCAGGTGCAGCACAGCAGCATCAACCTCATTCACTCTCTCACCGAGTTCCGGGACAGAGCCAGCCGCCTCTGGTCGACAGATAACCGGTGTCCGACCACCTCCGCAGCCCATCCGCCGGTCGTGTTGCTGTGCCTCGGTCCCTCCCTGCGGCTGCTTTCTCCTGTTTGCACGTTTCTGCGGCGCTTCATTCAAGAGAGCGGCCGACCAATGAGCTGCTGAGCCGGGGAGAGGAAGACTCAGCCGGCCAATCAGAGAGCTCCCTGTTTAATTAATGCAAGTCTTCAGGGATGGGGAGCAGCGGCACAGTGCAGTGCAGTAAACACCACGGGGGGCTAACAAGTAGAGAATAACTGCATATTAGTCTAACTCCCATATCTTACAGGTGTTTGTTAACATGTATACCATGTTTTATTCTTTGGAGTAGTGTAATAATACTCTGTTACAAGTAAAGGTCCTGCATCACATCCTTCTCGAGTAAGAGCACTCATTATGCAGAATGTCCAGTTTCAGAATCATATACAGTATACTGTATCATATTGCAGAATTGTAACAATAGTTAAACATTAATGTGTTCATGTTGCAGCTGGTAAAACTAGAGATAATTTAGATTACTTGATATACTGCTGGGTAGAGGTTATAGTAAAACATTATAATGTAACAGTTGAAAGGTATTAATAATATCGGCAGTCAACTTAGTCAACTAAAAAGCTAAAGACAAATAAATCACTTCAAATTGAAAATGTCTTTAAGATCTTTACTTTTGAAATCGATGCCCTTAAACGCAACATATGAAAGTCCTGAAAAATGTTTCACCAACTATTGGTTGCAACTTACTTTCTTGTTGAAATATATTAAGCATTATACTGCAGTGCCATAGTGACACTGTGGGATTAGACTTCTGCATGATGGAAAAACCGTTTTAGCTTTTTTAAAGGACGCCGATCACAGGTCAGTGGTTCTCCCAGGAGAACTTTGGCAACATGAGTTCATTATTTCCAGCTGGCACAAAAAGAACAATGTTTATAGTCACCACTGAGGAGACTGCCAGATCATTCACATATGATACTTTAAAATACACTTAATCTGATGTTTCCTGATTCATTATGAGAAAGTTAAGATCTGATGGAACTGAGAAAGAATAAGACGTGAACCTGAGATGTTATCCCTGTGTGGTATGTGAGGGATTACACCGGACCCCCTCGGCCAGGTGGTTTTCATCAGCACTCAGGACAAACCACTGTTTCTGAGGAATGTACTCATACAGAAAAGAATAATATAAACAAACAGGAAGACACAAGGTATTTTAACACATTTTATTATGTTACTTAAGGAAGCAAATTAAATGCTGGATTCTGGGAATAACTCACAAGTGTGTCGTGGGAATACAAAAAGTGCAAAACCACACTGTTCCTCCTTATGAAAACAGTTTTAAATAAAGATGAAGAGTATCCCCAGGCACATAAGACGAAGTCTGCCCCAGCGAGGCTCAAAGACAGTTCTTACACAGCACCGAGTGAAGGAACCCAAGCCAGCAAATATCAGATTAGTAGAAAATACAGTACACGATTACAGGAAGAGATGGAGTCACTGGGCAACGGCGTTCATTAACCTTTGGACAGTAAGCCTTTTTTAAAGCAGCTCAAGTAAATGAAGAACAATGAGAGCTTAAGCCTCACAAAAACACTTCGGCTCTCCTGTTAAACAAAGTCGTATTCTGTATTACAATTCAAAACAGTGAATAAATGTGTTTTATGTAGGCCTAAACACAAAATAAAGCTATGAGTCAAAGCAAACACATCTTGAACTTATATAAATGTAAATAACTGCTGCAATGAGACTAAACATGTAAAGCAGACTAGAGCGTGAAACATTGATACATACATAATGTACATGTCAGAACAGTCTCTGCGTTACATTTTAATATTCCTGGAACTAAAAGGCCTCGCCGCTTTTTCCTAAGGTTTTTAAACATCCTGTAATGGACCTTTTGATTTTCAGCGGCATGTCGCTCCTCAGAGCACCAACTGCTCTTCATTCATCACAAGTTTGGCAACATTAGAAATGCTGAGAAAACTGAACTGCGTAGCAACTAGAATCAGCAAAGTTACAGAGCAGATGGGCTGGCCGGAGCCCCAATGCCCGCTGCTCGACACCCCGCAGGCCTAAAAATAGCAGCCGAGAGGACGAGGAACCAGAGAGGACGCTGAGATTGGCCAGATTTCATCAATTTTTTGGACGAGCTAAGACCAACCCGACCCATCTGACATGTCAGAGAGACAACGCAGCGAGGTGAGACAGTGTGACTGCAACACTGAGGACAGTTCACCTTGCTTCAGGATTAAAACCGAAATCATTCATAGTTCAAAATTGCAGCCGATGGTTCAGCCAGGCTTTCACACAACAATACAAACCACACACACACATTCAAACACAATAACAACACGTGGTGACACAAACACAATCTTTGTATTTTAAGTAGGCTGGTTCAATACGGGGGATTAAAGCTGGTTACCTTGGACACATTATTGATTAAAGGCACTATCAATAACAAGCGTCACATCAGAGCGTGAACAAAATTCTGGGTCGGTGGGTTTTTTTGTATCAAAAAACAAACAAAACAAAAAAACATCTATACATGTTTTCTTAATGGGGTTTCTTTGCATATAAAATGTACATTCTAGATCATGCAGTAGCACCGTGGTTTGTTGAGGTCACACTGGTGAGCTCTACTTCCTCCTCCCACAGAATTTGCCCTGGCATCCCGCAACGCCACCTGCAGCAAAAACATCAGGATTATACTTTAATCTTTTCTAAGAATACCCCAGAAACATTCACACACACATCAGCTTTTTTATGTAGCAGGCTTCTGCATCTGCCGTTGAGGACGATGTAATAGGGTCATTGTATTTTTTAAATAGTTTTTGAATTACAGAGCCGATGGAGATTTACAGAAAAATAAAATCCTTGGTTTTTCCTGAAATTATAAAGTCATTTGGTAGAAAAACATCAACCTCAACCGACAAATTATCCTTACAAATGTGTGCACTGCTTATATAATCTCAATGAATAAGCAAGTTTTTCTTTCTGGTAAATTTGGAAGATTTTTTCTATGAATATTACCCCCCTCCCTGCTTTGCCATTGATATTATTAGTTTTCACTTTAATGGCTGCCATTGTAGTTGTTAAGTTGACTGAAGTTGGTAAAAGTGTTTACCTCTGTAGACTCCTCCTCCTCCTCCAACTCCCCCTCTTCCTGCACCAAGGAAGCCCTGCAATGGGCCGTACTTCGCTGCTTTGGCTGCAGAAAAAAGGACAACCAAATGACTAATTTACTTTGAATGACAATGTTAAACAAATGTTTTAATGCCTTTACATGTTCCCCAAAAACTCTCGTTTCCCTGCTGTAATGGCTGAGTGAAGTTTAGGTTGATAAATGTGTGACCACAGCATCCATACAGCTACTATTCTGTACCAACCAAACAGAAGGAGGAAAACACCTGCCATTTTAGGAATTTGTATACAGTTTATTTTATATCTGCCAGACCACAGTCAATGTGTGGAATTTTATTTTAGCCTTGGAAATAGTAGTTGGACTTTACTATAAACACGTATGATCCACTTCACAACCTCAACAAAGAAAACTAGTATAATTTGAACTAAGATTATGTTGTTAAATGTTTGGGAATATGTATAACTCTAGACTGAAATACAATGAGTGATGTGGATGGGGTGTAAAGTGAAGGGCTGTCCTAAGATATAAGAATGCATTGTGATTTATGATTTTTACAAAAACAAACCAGACTGTTAACATCACTGGCCTACAGAAAATTACATCAGTGTTAACTGAGTGTTCACGTAGCAACACACGCATCATCCATGTGACATCTATTAGTACACAGATGAGTTAGACCATAATGTAATGTCTGTACATTTATATAATGATATCCTTTATTCATTTGGCAACAGGACAACTTAACTGTGTATTATCATACTGTTTCCTTGATTTACAATTCCAATGATTGGATTTCTTGGTAATAAAGTTATAAACAAACTTGTTTATTTATATGAACAATACCAAAGAGGCAATGACATAAAACCTGCCAGTGAGTTTTGAATGTGTGTGTATGGACTTGATAAAGCTGTAGATGAAATGCCCTTCCCTGGATATATAGAGTTGTCTGATTATAAATCTGAAAGTGAATGTAAATCACCGGAGGCTATTATTTATATGCTGTAATATAGCATGTAATGTAATCCTAGGATCCATTTATCCATAGATTAGTGAAACCCACTCATTTTATGGAAGGTCGTGGGGGGCTGTAGTTAATCATGAGCCGGCAAGAGTTGCCGAGAAACTGACATGCAAGAAACAGACTGTGGGAGGAAACTGTTGAATCCAAAGTAATCTAATTTCACTCATTCATTCAGAGATCAAACTACTGACTGAAAGAAACCAGACGTGCTCTCCTTGAAATAACCCCAGCAGCGGTAATCTCTGATGTTCAGGAAAATGCAGATTATCATCACACTGTGCCATGCCATCTGCACCGATAGCACACACAGAATCACTGAAACACTTTCCAAACAATCTGACCAGGTGCAGAGAGACTTGATATTTATTATTGCTTCCTGGTGTGGAGATGTGTGTGAATGCTGAGATGTGAGGAGGGGGTTTGTACCTTGTTGAGGAGTCAGTGGGGCTGGCACATATCCATCTAAACAAAATCAAAGACAAATGAGAGAAAACATGGTGCCATAAGACTAACTCTGATATGAAACCACTATGGATCTGTCACAGTGGATGATTTATGTGTCCCGGCCAGGATGTGGTGAGGAGATGTGGTGAGGAGACTTGACATTAGTATAATATCACATGTGACGCTCTCAGTGTATTCAAGTAACCAGTGTGCAGACAATGTGTTCCCCTGTCTGTGTTTTGTATTTAAAATAAATTAAAGCTAACAAGAGAGAAGGTGCTTAAGGTTTTGCCTATTACGCTGCTGGAATTTGAATAAAGTGAGCTCTGACACCGACCAATTGTCTTCTGATGTGTTTTGCAAAATGGGAAGAAGACTACAAACAACAAAAAATTAAAATTTCAATTTGCTCTATTGTCAGTAGTAATCCAATTAATCTTTGTGTAATTAGGTTCTCAGAAAAGAAAAGGGTAGGTTGTCATTATTCAAACACAATGTAATACCCTGAGGTAAACTCAGCCTCCCATGTGTGTAAAAAAACGAGTGATAGATATTAGAAATTAACTCATGTTAAAAGTTAAACCCGCCCTTTCTGCCTTCGCGAGGTAAATAAATACAAGTAATATGAATATTTTCTATAATAATAGTATCTCCTTCAAACCATGCGTCTTTATGATCAAATGCTTTCATTTCGTTACTAACATTCAGATTTTCTATTCTAAATTTGATCAGAGATTTAATTGAGATTGCATTCTCTCTACTGTACGTCCACTAGTAAAATGGTAATAATTCTTGTTTTCTTATGCAAGATTCCATGGAAACCCCCATAGTGGCTATGAGCGGAAGTTGTAGTTGCATTGTGTTTAAATTGTCCAGAATAAAGGGAGGGAGAAAAGATACATTGTCCACATCCAGGGCTATTGAGCAATAACCATAAGAGTGGTCATTCTGCTTTGGTTCTCCTCTCCCTTTCTAAATGCCCTTAGCTCTAAAGGGGAAAACGATGAGTCAGTGTTCCTGTTCTTTCATCCGTTCAGCTGTGTTACGTCCCTGATGGCAGTTGGGCATTAATCCACCTTCCCATCCAGAAACAATGATCAAAAGTTAAAAACTACTGCCCACTAAATCCTCTTCTACGGGAAGAAGTTTGGCCAGCATATTCTGGTATATGTTTGACTTTAAGTAGCAGTGAAAAACAATAATGACAGAAACAACATACAAATGAACCTTTCTGTATATATTCTGAAGAAAAAATGGTAAGTAGGTAAGATCTTAAAGTGAAAATCTTAAAGCTGCCTTCTTCTCTTGCCCCCGCCTATTAAGATAAATGTTCCTATTCTGTCGTCTGTTGGGTCCTTTCCACTGATTTATAACCCGCAGGTTACTGCACAGCACGCTGTCTAACACCTATCTTACATTTACATCGTGCACACAGACACTGACATGCAGAGAGAGCAGTTGTCATACTTTGGTAGTACTGTTGGGGGTAACCTCCTCCATAACCAGGGACCACAGGAGCCACAGGAACTGCACCTGTAACATTAAAAAGCTTTACTTAGTGTACCATGGAGAAGATTCATAGACAGAAAAATAACATCCTATCCTATTGGTAACCGACAATATTCATAATACAATATAATCATTCACTTTGATAGTCAAACTGTTGTGATATGATCATGTAAGTTGTGAAAAAACTACCTAGTAACAACTTTGAGTGACACATTCAGTTTTAGGGACGTCAAGACGTTAGTCATTTATATTATTGTTTTTATGAATATATTATTTATAATCATTTCAATCAATAATTGCCTGGTGTCTGTTTGACAGGGCAGGCTGTTCCGAATAGAAATTCATGTATTTATTTAAAAAGAGAAAAAAAGGATTCTTGGAGGCCCAACTCTAGGTGACTGAGCCCCCTTCGAGGTCTATCTGTTCACATGCTGGTACAGTATGTACTGTGAGTTTGATATCTTGATATATTTTTATAGAAGCCAATTATTATTCACCATTTGGCAAACCCTTCTGTTGGAAAAAGCTATTGGCGAACAAGAAAAGTTATTAAACCATCTTTGGAAGCATTTCACACAGACGTCTATCTCTCTGGCCTTTGGAAGGGGGATTAGTGGAATGGGTTTTAAAGAGCAGCCTGGTCGGGGTCTGTGGGGCCGAGAGAGGAGCTTCTGCTGTGAGATTACACTCATCCCTCACTGGTGGCCAGAGGAGGAGGAGAGGACCAGAGGCTACTCTGCACAAAGTGTGGAGAGTGTGGTGGACAGCTGATTTGAAACGTGTCCCATATTAGCCACTATTGTTTTTTGTTGATTCAAAAACAGTAAAATAAGATAGTACTTAAAAACGGCGTATGAGGACCATTGTACATGAAACATTTAAAACGTTGAAGTTGGATCCACGTCATCATACCACAGGCTCTGTTTAATGCCTGCAGCGGAGGACTTCATGTTATTTTACTGTTATTTGGATTCAGCAATATGGAAAATACTTGTGATTTTTGCCAACAATCACCATATTATCATAAGCATGCAAACATTGAAGAGACAATTCCAATTTCAAACACCATCGTTATTTGAGTTTTCTCTTGGAAATATTCTTCCATCCATCATTTATTTACTTTGACCCATAAAGGCCCCAATACTGCGTCCTAGCAGAAAATAGTAAACAAACATATGGTTTTTCTCACCTGGCTGATAAAAACCGCCACCTCCAAGTTGACCGTAGCCTGAAAAGCAGACCAACAAATCTCAATAATGAGTCCATTCTTAGGATTTAACAGTGAGTATGACCTGTTATATTTGTTTGGTTCCTATAGCTGTTGTTGTTTGTCCCCCTGAGGTGAAGCCAGTGGCTCAGCTGAGGTCGCAGCAACAACATCATCCAAACGTCCTCTGGCAGAGTTTTGCTATTTCAATGCAATTCTCCGGGGGTTTGTGTTATGTTCCAACAGTCACACTTTGATGTTGCACACAGCTTCACTAACAGTAATCAGTCCCCATCAGGAAATGTTATGTTGTTGACTTGCTTCATTTACAAACTCCTAGCGGCACTGTAACACTGCAGGGAGCAGAGTTATTTGCTTGTTTATACTAAACCTACTTGTTCTTGATTTTATTTATCTTCATATACAGTGCACTACTTTTGAATTGTGTTCATTATGTTTTATGTTATATTGGTGTGGTTTTGGATGAAAAAAAGGATCCCCTGTATGTTCTTAAGCCCTTGTTGATGTTACAATTTGATTGCCTAATTTATTATCTATAGTCTGCATAAATGTTTGTTAACTTGCATGTGTTTTGCCTGAGGACGAGATGGTGCATCTCAAGGGGATTGTCCTCTTATTATAATTTTAAAAATGGAAATACAACTAACATGGCAGCTTTTATGTATTCACTAATACATGCATTTTTCTTGGGACTCATCAGTTTCTCAGAAAAAACACTGAATAGATTATGTTCATACCGGATTGATTTTAATGCAGTACAATGTTTAATCTAATTTCTTCAGCAGGAGCTTTGTCACAATCAAAGGAAATAAAACAGTATTTGATAATCACCCAAGTCCTAAAGAAATAAATCCTACTTTAACTAATTTACTATTACTGAGTATTACTGAGAAGGAGGAAGCAGGGTGGAATATTGAGTATGAACACATATGAACCTCATACAGTATATGCCAACATCTGCTCCACTTTTCCAAGCTATTTGATGTTTGCTTTAACAGTTACAGGCCTGTTACTCTACCTTGTTTGGGTGGTTTAGCTCCACCTCCAGCACCTCCCAGTCCACCTGCAGCGGGATACTGCAGCCCACCTGTCACAAGACAAAGAGAACTGGCTTAGATTTGATCACGTTCACCTCGCTGACACAGGATTGTAAACCGGCTTCAACCACTCTAATTACTGCCTCCAACACCAGAGGATTTTCTTCATCAAAGTTTCCAACTGGCTTCTCCTTCCTGACACTCCCCCCCCCCCTCCTACAGACACTTATCAGCATGTCGGTCAGTTTCCTGCACAGGAAGTGGGATGTGATGCCATCTCCTGACCAACTGTCACTTTGAGCACCGAGCAGAACGTTTTAGTTTGTTTATGTTGTTTTTTTATTGGAGGGACATGTGTAAAAGTGCTGTCGGCCTCCTCTCCTCTCATACATACCCTGGCCATAACCATGTTGATATGGCCTGTATCCCCCTGAATCGTGACGACAGAGAAAAGTAGCATTATTTTCTGGTGGCTCAACTCACCTCTTTCAGTTTGTGTCAGGGACGGTTTCATCGGAGAAATGGTAATAATAATAAAAAACATGCTAACAAAAAGAGGTTATAATTTAAGCCCTATAAATTGAATAAGGAAGAAATTGTGTTTTATGATTCCAAATTAAAGGAATAATCTGGATTTTTTTAAGCCGGAGCTTGGAGAAACAGACAGGCCCATGCTAAATGATGTTCTTTACATGGGAACGTGCCGAACTATGCATCTACTGTAGGGAATCTGCTGACTCTGAATAAATACCTAATACAAACCACATTTAAAGAATCCATGTATCTCTAAACTCACACTTGTGTCGATGTTTGTAGGGTTCACAAACAAAGTATGTTTAACACCTGAAATAAATATGTTTATGGGTTCTGACCTTGATAGCCTCCTGCTGCCAGTGGGATCCCTGCTCCTCCTGCTCCGCCAACAGCTACAACAAGCACAACAAAACAATGTCTGAGCCTTAACAAGCAAAATGTCAAAACATAAATATGTGATATAACCTAGATGGAGATGTTTGTGAAATGTCTCCTACATACCTGGAGGATTCAAAGGCCTTGCTCCAGGCAGAGTGGCTGCTCCGGTACCAGCACCATAAGGAACTGCAAAGCAGAAATGATAGAAGTGAAAGTTGCCACATTTTAATCCAAGCCTGTAAATGTTTATATCATTAAAAATACTTGCATCCATAGTTTCCCAAATAAGGATATCCACCTCCGGCTTGACCAACACCTGCAACCGAACCGATGGAGCAAATGTGTTAGAAGATTTGAGGGGGAAAGTCAGAAGATTGAACAATTGCTGTTAGATTAGCTTCAATGACTAGTTAACATGAATAGTTAAAAACACTACACTAATTTCTGAGCTCAGGGATTTGTTTCTAAAATGATTAAAACATGAAAACAGAGAGGAATTAAACATGTAAGGATATTGAATTGTAAACTCAGGTAGGTAAATGTATGTTCACCCAATACTGAATGTTTTATCATTAGTGTTCAATGTTTCTAGTTTGTGTTATAGTCTTATATGGAACCAACTAAGTTTCCCTCTCAGGGACAACACGATTTGGACTAAAATTAATGCAGAAAAATCATTTTGCATTTGGTCTCAAGTCCATCACAGGTAAAATAGTGCAGAAAGGCAGAAATTACTGCAAACCCACAGAGGGATAAAAGTGATGACTCTTCAGTCTTTTGGCGGTGTAATTGGGTAGAGAAAGACCTGATGCAGCTTTTCCTAATATATTAACTGCTGCTTTTTATCGATCCGAGTTAAGTCATTAACTGTCCAGACAGAATGTGCACAGTAAGATAAATACAGTGAAAGTAGTATCTGTAACATATAATATAATCATAAAAGGTGTATTGATTAAATTATAATAATAATGAAAGGGAGAAAACATGAGAATTATTAAACAATATAAACTCAAGCAGTGTCAAATTGATAAACACAAATATTACTGATTCTAAATTATATATAAACATAATGATCTACTTAATTACATTATCATTAACACTTGTAATAAGGTATGCATAACTTAACAAATAATCTTCAGTCAAACAATGTCATCTTATTGTGTTGCAGCTACATACAGTAGAGGCATTTATTTTTATGGTGATACCACATAGTCAGGATCTACTTACAGTATATGAACTATTGATTTATGTTGATTGTAAATAAAGAAATGCAGCAATGTTGCAAAAATAAATTCTGATGAATTATTTATTAGCCATATTTACCCGGTAGGTACGGTTTAGGTGCTTTGCCACTTGTGCCAACACCGACACCTGAAAACAGCAGTGTTTAAAATGATTAAATTCACTGACTACATCCCAGACAAGTGTGGACAGGGCTGTTTAATCTGTATATGTCGCCATCATGTGGCCACAAGGATGAATCGTATCACGTTAACTTTCAATACTAAAATACAGCTTGAGTGCTGATTACAACATGGAGTTATTGAACCAATTACATTTTAAATATTGGCCTACCTCCAGGATGTTGAACTCCGGTTGCAACAGTTTAGCCCTGAGCCTGTTTTTCAGGTCTCAGGCTCGAAAATGACATTCCCAGAACAAATGAACATATCTTCCCTTCTAAAAGGGTTAAATTAATAATCTTTTTTTCTCAAAGTAATGATAAACCTGTGAGTTGGATGTAGAAAGTCTGAATCAAAATAGTTGTTTTTTATTTTAAAGAAAATTCAGATTGAACATAGTAAAAAACTGTAAATTATAGTGTCCGTCCAAATATTCTTTTTTACATATAGTGAAAAAACTACCCTGGATGATGGTATGATAGACTAAAAGCTTTAGCAATCCAAAGTACAACATATAATAAGTACCCTGTA